GGGTACCTTTTCTCTCGAAAGAGATTTATAAAATCTAGACCGCATGGTGAAGCCTTGCTTTTTGAAACTTTCTCGAGTATACCTTCCCGGGTAGTACACATTACAGTAAACAAAAGCTCACAAAAGTGACTGTGGGCTAAGCCTGTTCCAGGCATTCGGATAATGGAGTGTGGCGTGAAGGAAGAGAGCAATAAAAGAATAAGGAAGAAAAGAGTGAGAGGGAGAGAGGAAGGAACATCTGCGTGATTTGTGTTCAGAAGGTTATTCCGCCCACTTTGTCGCCTTGTAATCCAAACATCGTTTCTGGTGTTAAAAGTTGTCAATCAAGCAACTGGCAACCAATCGCATTGTGTACTGAATTTTAATCTTTAATATTTGTTTTCTGCAAACGAATAAATCCCTTACGTCCAAAAATAAAAGAATTGGCAAGCATTACTTGCTCCAGTTTCTCTGCCGTTGATTTTCACTCAACAGATCATATACTTGCTGCTGTCAGTTTTTTGTCGTTATTATTGAAATGCTGTTTGAATTTGTTTGTCAGTAAAAGCTTCAACAGGTAGCTTTGGAAGACGTGTTAAGGGAATAGAGATCAAGTACGTCCCAAGACTAGCGCATTTTTTTCGTTTCATAAATTGGCTTCCAAAATATCCAGGTGAATGTTTTGACAGCAAGCTTTCAGGAATCTTAGGGCTAAAGAAGCTGCATTTTTTCTATATACATTCACAGCCCATTAGTCCACACTTCCTTACTGTTGTAGCAACTCCAATCCTGTTAACGTGTTGTAGTTACGTAGCTGCTAAGGCAAAACGTCTGTCGTCACAAGGAACAAAGCCAAAATGAAACAACTGTATTTGCAGACTAAAAAGACTCATATAAAAGGGTTCATGCGTGCATTCAATATTCCTGGAGAGATATGAAACGAAAGAGCTCGTTTAAAAGCCAATAAATAGTAAAATTTGGAAGTACTACTTACCGTAGTAGTGATCATGCATCAGAACGATTTCTTCTGTTCTTCAGGATGATATTCCACATTAACCGTGTTGCTTATTTCAAAACACTTCACCACACTTTAAAGATAACCTGATGTGTAATCTCATTGCTAGCACATCACATTTCCAAGCAATGTAATAAACCTCTCGGTGCTGACAAGAGCTGTCAAAATAGACCAATCATAGGGTATACCAGCGTCTGGTCCACCGGGACGAGCTTTTGTTTAAGTCTTACAGGCGTTCCCTCCCTACTCCACCCCCTCTTTTTTTTTTCTGCTTACATCTCTTTGCACTGACCCCACGATCTAAATGCCTGAAACAGGGTACTGTGGGTTTGGCAGTGCGGGCGGCAACCATTTTAATTTAGATTCCAGTCGAGATAACAATTCAATGGTTTTCACCTGACGTCACCGATTTTTCCATTTATGGGCATCTGCCGTATTGGAGCCCCTCTACTGTGAAATTCATGTAAAGCTAAGGTCATTTTTACACCGTTTTTTACTTTTAAGCATATCTTTTGGAGTTTAAAATGGATTTCGGTAATGAGATTGGAAAAAAAAACATTCCTGTGTTTTTTGAATACGCTAAAGACCTGGAAGGCCAAGTAAAGGAATGGTATGTATAAAGAAAATACCTTTGGTTGGAGTGGATCCAGGAAACCTTCCAAGCGAACTTCAACAGTTTGATTCAAAAAATCTTCTGCTGCACACACATGCGTCTTGTGTATCATGACTGTCCTTAAGCTGGACTTTGAGTAGTCACTACTTTAGCAATTGTAATCTATTGATTTTAATGTGCCAAAGCAGGCACATTCAAGAAAGATGCATTGCTAGGGAGGAAGTTTTTGGCTGGTCCCTTGTGAAGCATCGACTTCTGGCTACTAGCAGTCTACATCGTAGAACCAAAACCTGTCAGAGTGTTAAAAAGTTTCAGTTATCAAGATATGAAAACCAAATTCATGCTGTGGTCAGGACATTATAACTACAAACATGAGACTAAGTCAACACAATCATTTATCAACTCTCAACATCCAAATAAAACTAGTCAAATGGTACAATGATAACTTCTTAGGAAGAAAGTCCCGTATAAAATCGCACCATTTCATCTGACTTGAAAAACTCCCAGTCTGGAGCTTGATATCCACTTCTCTTCTGGATGAGGTAGATGACTCTTCTGTCTGAGTTTCCGTGTCCCTATAGTAATAATAATAATAATAATAATAATAATAATATACACCTATATAGCACCTTTCTCTTAGTGATCCAAAGCGCTTTACAATCAGTAAATACTAAGAAAAACAAATCTTCAAATACAACATAACAGGATTGAATACCCCAACTGGCAGGAGGCAACAAGTTGGCTATTTACAAGCGTGGCCAAGGATTTGAACTCGGGATGACTGAGAATAAATCCAGCAAGTGGCCAGAGCGGGACTCATACCTGGGACTGCCGGATTGCGAGTCTAACGCGCTGACCACTCGGTTATGCTGCCTCCCCTGTCCACCTCACTTGAACTCCCGTTTCAGTTTTAGCATCCACATCAGGCAATTCGTGTTTGCTTGTTTTCCGGTGGAGATAAAGCAACTGTCCTATTCTCACCCTGGTGCGATTCAAGAGTTCCACTTGCAAAGGCCGGTGAAGCATCTTCAGGTTCCATCTTTGTATTTGCTGCATCAGCATACTGATACTGAAGTACTGATACTGATACCCTCTGTGTTTCAGACATGACAAGAGAAGCGATTTATGTGCCACTTTCACTGACATGCTTACGTTTTGCAGCAGCTTCAAGTTCCTGTCACTCTAGGGCACTCTTTCTACGCGCTTTCACTATTTCAGCCCATTCTTGCACTGTATTCTAATTCCTGTCTCTACATTCCTTTTATCCAAGCTTCAATGTTGGAATCCAGTCAACATTATGCTTGTCCCACTGCTTAGTAGCGCTACCCGACACAAAGTGGCAGCCACAAACTCTTTCACTAAGACATTTTTGTGTACCATGTCACCTTGACTAATTGCCGAAATCCACCTCTCCTGCTTTGTTGTCGTCAGTTCCCGTCTATTCACCTTGATTTTTAATGACAGAAGGAATATGAAACATTCCTATAACAACGTTATTGCCAGTTTTGGTTCCACAACCGACAACAATACATAAAACCTTGACTGCATCTCTTTCCAGTTCTTGCTCTTTTAACATCTGAGGGGCTCCAACATGGCAGATGCCACACGTGGTCAATTTAAGGTCACATGAGTGACAGCCAAGAATACCAGCGGTGTTCAATATCTCAGCAGTGAACCAATCTGTTCCATTAGTAGAGACGCACTGGAATCACGGTCAAACTCCTCTGCTCCCTTCCTTGGTGTGCACTGACAGCAAGTGAACTTCATTTCAGTCCACTTTTTCACCACCTCTACCCTTTGCATCTCCCACAACACTCTACCCACTACTAGTCAAGTTCAGTTCAGGGTTGCTTTACACGTCCAAGCACCTTTTCATTTTCCTCGCTTTGCTCCCCAGTCTCCTCAACAGGAAAAAAAGGCATGTTTCAAGAATCATGCTACTGTCGTCCCCAACTTCATTGACCAATTTAAGTCGTTGAACCAATTGAAAAATAATGTGGACCAGAACGAATGACGTTTCAGTGTCATCTTGACGCCATTTTCATGTTCAAAATGCTTACTGATTAACTGACAAAAAAAGTTTTCTAGCTGATGATTAGCATATATGAAATATATGACAAGTGGTTTGGAAAACTAAATACAGAATTCAAAAGTAAAAGCAGATACGCTGCAAAAAAAGACAAACATAGTCAAAGAACATGAAAGGGAACATTAACAAAGGCATAATCCGCAGCCAACAAACTATTGCAATCAACGAAGACAGTTCAGCAGAGATAGAATACTGACAATATGGCCATCAAAATTTTCACTGTTTCCTCTAATTCCAGGTTGCCAAGCTGCAAAAAGGAACTGTTTTTTCACAGGCTTTAAAGACAGGTAGTATTCCTTGCTGAAAGCGCTAGATTTGTACAGCAAAATGAAGCTAAAAGACCAAAAGGGGTCGTTGAGTGATCTGCAGAAGGGAATGGCAGACTATCCTCCCTACAGACTTAAGTGCACGAGGTGGGACTTTCAAACTAAAGAAATAAACGAATTGCTTCAGGCCGTTACCAACAAGCAATTACCTCTTCAAGAAGTGGAGACAGAGGAAACAAACCATTAAAGAAATGTAGGAAGACTGACAGAGACAGGATGAAATGCCTGGAAGGAGGTTGGAGATAAGTCAGAGTTTTGTACCACAGACTTGATATGCACAGATATTTCGTCTATAAATCTAATCGATGCACAAGTATTATATGATTTTACCAATGAAACTCGTTTTGCAAAAACATGATATTGTAATATAAAATATACTGTGTGTGCTGATTAAGTACTATATGTGCGCATGATTGTTGTAACTTATTTTGACTGCCACCTCCCTCAAATATACAGATGACCAAAGGGATTGGTTTTGTTTGCCTGTTTATTCATATTACAGAGATTTAGGGGACAGGCAAGAATTTCGACAATGAAGGACTTCATAGTCAGGGCGAAGTATAGGAACCCACAAATGTATGGGAAGCCACAAAATGAGAGCTTACGTTTCAGCTCAGAGGAACGACGTAAACTTTAGGCAGAGTAGCAGTGGAGATGTACAGGCTCAACCACTTTTCCTAACAAGCACTTTTCCTAACAAGATGTCTGACTATAAAGGAGCATCAGTGATATTCACGGACATACCAAAGGTGATCACTTCTTTAATATGGCCTTGCCAGTAGCGTGCTATTGTAACTTGTGCCTGTTGGAGTGATGGGCCATTAGAGGCATCAAAAAAACCTTTTAAGTGCAGACATATGACCATTAAAAATCATCCTCAACAAAAAGACGCCTTGAGGTTCAATCAGATGGGACTGTACCTTTAAAAGTATACCCACCCTTATTACACAAAGGTACAGCTCCAAATGCTTTCAACTGAATCAAATGTTGGATCCTTTCATGCGAAAACAGCTTGTCTTGAACACAACTTGCATCGCTAGCAAGTTTCTATGAATACTAATGTACTTGAAGAAACACTGACAAGGGTAGATATCATTTTAAACAGGTTGTTGTTATAAAGCTATTGGCTGGTAACACAAAAAAGAACATGAAAGATACTACCAAGTGTACTTCCTAGACAAGTGCCAGTGATGATGACATATATGCATACAGAAAAGTGAATAAAATTCTTGCTGTCAAGTGTATGGTTTCCAGTGTCGAGAAGAGCCTAAAGAATTTAATGAAAAGAATATTGCATGTGACAGGAGCAACAAACGGTTTCACTACCAATGTGTGCATGTAACAAAAAAGGAATGGTTTATACTAGATGAATTCACCCTACATTGCCTACAAATCATACAAACTGGGGTCCTCATAACAAAATTAGCTTAAAAAAATACAATACAAAATATCAACATAGCTCCTTGCCATGAAAGGAAAAAATTTTCTTGCACATCAGATACACATGCTTGGGTAACTTGTTATCACGAATGCTTTGCTCAGCAGTTGTCATGCGGTTACACTGGCCCTTCAATGGCTACATCAATTTTTGTAGTTTTAGCTCATTTTCGTCTTCTTTTTCGCTTTTTCTGATATGGTGCAAGCCTACGTGTGGCTGCATCGTCCCCTGAAAAAAGGAAAAATGGCGAGGGGAAACGTCTACAAAAGGCTGGCATGAATTGTGTTATGTGACGTCAATCCTTTTGCAAAAAAACATATAGCAGTTTTTCATTGGCTGCCCATTCGATCATTTCTTTCGTTGGCACTTAAATGTGAAACACACAAGCACATGGCAAAATGGTGCCGAGACTGCTTACTTCGCAAATGAAAGAAACGTACCCAAGCTGCTTTGAAACAAGTTTGCCGAACATTCTGCTTTCCAGAACTGCACAAAGAGCAACCAGAAGCTATTGAGGGGAGGATGTCTTCAAATCTCTTCTGACTGGATATTGCAAATAGGTTCTATTTAAGGCAATAACGGTGGACACATCACTTGTTTCAGATATTTCGTGCTCCTTAAGATTCTATGCCGATGACACTACGGGGTACTCTTCAAGCCCTTGTCCATCCATCTTGCAAATAAATCTACAAAACAACCTTGATCTACTCGTTTCCTGGTTTTGTAAGAACTTCCTGGCGATTAACCATAGTAAATCTCAATCCATCGTCTTCAATCAAAATAATAAAATAAATAATTAGAATTTTACTATTAAAATAGTAAAATTCTACACCCTGTTTAATACTCAAGACCTTGTGTTCAGCAGCACATACCTGACCTGTATAAGCCAAATAAGGGAGTGCCTCCCCCTCTCCCCACCTCGAAACGTGCTCCACTCTTTAGTCTAGAGCTTGTTTTAGAACAAAAGAACTATGATCCCATAACTGACATCATTTGCATAACACCATTCTTCACTGCTGAAATTCGTGTTTGGAAAATTTAACCAAAACATAGATATATTCACATGTACTGCATTGCCTGCTCTAACATCATAAGCTGAAGAAAGGTTCATACGCATGAGTTGCGACTACTCTATGGTAACGTGCCAAGGAGGGGAGCAGAACAATTTTTCTTCTTTACAGTGAGGCTTGATAATTGGTCCTGTAAGTCAAAGAGATTACTCGCATGGTGGCAGATTCTCCAGCTTGACCTTCCAGCCTTAAGCTGGGGATGAATCTCGTAACGGGGCACCATGCCAGTTCTTTCCGTACAGTTCACACACGGGTGCTTCCGTACCTTGAATTAAAGTTCTCATTGGATACTGATCACTGTTTCCTGCGATACTCGCCATACGTCGGACGTACCCTCCATTGGTTGAAGAAGCTGGACTGCTTTCCACTTCCCTTTACCAAAGAAAGCAGAGATGATGTCACAGCCTGTGTTCTAGTTTACACCTGTAAGGGCTCCTCATGAAGCAGTGGCTAACATCGCCCGGGTCAAGTTGCATATAACGTTCGCGCCCCTTCCCTTTTTCATGTAGCACCTTTTCAAAGTCAAGTTTTTGCGAAGAGCAAGCACTAGGACAAAGACATCAGTCTCAGTGTCAGTGTATCAGAGTGCATCACACCTTCATTCCTGCGCGCATGCCAAGCATGGAGAACAATAGGCGTTTCAGCCTCTTCGTCATGGAACTGTACCTCAGGAAAAGGGTCTCTGACCACTATGTGTCTGCGTCTAGTCGCCCAACTCGTCTTCGGCTGTCACACGAGGAGTCCATGATCCAGTTGCTGAGTCTGCTTCTAAATGCTTCGGTTTTGCCCTGTGGCACAAGGAACTTGCCGATTTCAGCTTATTTGTGTTGGCACTTAGCAGCTCGTTCCATGACTTCACAGCATAGTGCATCGCAGTAAATCCCTATAATTGTACACTGTCAGCGGTAGACGTTATTCTCAGTCTTTTGACATTTTTGATCAACACCTCGTGCTACACGTCAACCACTAC